CCCGCCCCCGCACCCGCCTCCTGCACCGCCTCCCGCTCGAGCAGCTCCGCCTCGCCTAACAGGCGCTCCAACTCCTCCGTGCCGGACTCCACTTCCTAAGTAATGTTAATGTTCTCTCTCACTCGGTCCAAAGCTGGACGTACTCGACTCCATGACCACGCATAATATTTATTGACTTTGTATATAAAATGTTCAGTATTTTATTTCCCATCGATTCCAATGACGGCCGGCGCCGCTAAGTTACTATGTGTGAGTTGTCGGCACAGTTTATGCATGCCGTAACGAGGCATAGTGCAGCAGTGCCGTTCAGTAATGCGTCACCTGCGCGCGCTCGAGCAGCTCCCGCAGCTCGGCCAGGTCGCCGGGCAGCGCGCCCGCCGCCTGAGTCCGCAGCCGCTCAGCCGCCGCCAGCCGCTCGCCCGCCGCGCCCAGCGCCTCCCGCAGCCCCGCCAGCCGCGCTGCGCCTGCACACACCACCGCGCTACATCACGCCGCTCCTCACCGCGCAGCGCGCAATATCGGAAGCGCGACAAAAGACAAGGGTGACAGAGAATGAGGAGGAGAGAGGTACCCGTTTTACCTTTCTCCAGTTTATCTATCTTCTGCTGCAAAATAGTTTTGCAGTCACCGACCTTGGTGACCAGATTTTCCACGCTGCTCGCGAGGTTCAAGTCGGGCACGCTGCCCGAATCGTACTTCTCTCGCCTCTCCCGCACCACCGCGTCGTACGTCGATTGCAACTCCTCGAATCGCGTCTGCACCCGCTTTAGATGTTGAATTTTGGCCTCGGTCTCCTCCGGCATCGACGGGTCGGCGTGCTCGGCCAGGATCTGCGCCTCCAGGTCCGCGACCTGGGCCTGTAGCGCGCGGAACTCCTCCTCGTGCCGGCCCCGCCCCTGAGCGCGCCGCCCCAAGCCCGCCTTCATCTCGGCTTCCTTCTCCGTCAGATGCGCGAGGATCTCGCCGAACTCCTCCTTCGTTCGCTTCGTCTCGTTCTCGACGTCGTCTCTGAGCCGCTGCGGCAGCCCCTTAGTCGAAAGGGCGCAGGCGCGCACGGCGAGCTCCTCGAGGCGCGGCTCCAGCTGGCGCAGCGCGCGCAGCCGGTTGCGCAGATGTATCAGCCGGTTGTGGGAGGGCCGGTCGGCCTGCACGCGCCGCCCCCACTCGCGCGTCTCCTCGAGCTGCACGCGCAGGCTCGCCGCGCCCTCGGCGAATTCGCGCGCATCCCGCAGCGCCTCCAGCGCGCCCTCCAGTCGCGCCGCGCGCCCGCTCACCTCCTCCAAGCCGCGCTGCAGCTCCGCTATGCTCTCGGCGTGCCGCTGCGCCTCATCTGTAGAACATCATAGATAGTGACAGCACACAGCTTCACGAGACGTTACCGCAAGGTGGATGGCGGAGAGCAGCGGTACCTTGCAGCGCGGGCTCGGCGGCCAGGCGGCGCTGGATCTCCTGCACGTGCGCGAGCTCCTGGCGCCGCTCCTCCGCCTGCCGGCGCGCCCGCTCGCTCAGCGCGCCCGCCCGCTCCGCCCACTGCGCCCACTCCGCCCACTGCACCCCCGAGCACTCCTCCAGCGCGCTCTCGCACTGCCGCAATACACAACACCGTACAAGCGAAACTGTATGATATTCCCTACCACTGGTTGTTTTTTTTTCATAAAAAATTGCTTACGCAGTTGGACTGCGAGTTACTTGCTTTATATAAACGTTGCTTATAAATTGTTACATTAGGTTATATCAATGCAATAAATGTACGTAAATGGTATTTAACAAGTGTTTTTTAATAAACTTTTAACTTAGCAAGTGTAGGCTCACGTCCTATGTCCTCGGGTAAACTATTGAGTAAGTATGGAACTCGTTTTTTTAACGTTCTATCTCCATACTAATTGTGTACCATTGACCTTGTGCCAGTTTTATCTTGCACCAAATTAGTAAAATTATTACTGTTACTTTGATCGTTTGCAAGTTGAGTTTATTATTATTATTACAATCTAAAATTGTTTTTTTATCATGTTCTACGTTACATTTATAAATTGCCTTTTGACATTTGTTTCTGTACCTAGCACGAGTTAGTTTTTTACCATATTTTTAAGGTGTTGTTTAACGAATGTGTGTTTGCGTTTGTACAATAATGTAGACTAGCGATCACCCCCGACCTGGTGCAGCTGGTGCAGCGTATCGCGCGCCCACGCGTCGAAGGCGCGGTAGCCGGCCTGGAAGTCGCGCGCGCCCTCGCCCGCCAGCCGCGGCTTCTTGCTGGCCGTGTGGGCGCGCTCGGCCGCCTCCTCCGCCTCCGCCTCCACCATCACCTCCACCTCCGCCTCCGTCTGCGGCTGCGTGGGCGACTCGCTCGTCTCCTCGCCCGTGTCGATGTCGATGTCGAACTCGAAACCTAGCTCCCGTATCTGTTACCAAAATGTTTAATGTGCTAAATATCTGAATAAAATACTATGTGAGGATGTAGAGGTGTGGAGGTGTGGAGGTGTGGGGGCGAGACACTGACCCGCGTGGCCTGGACATCCAGTATGAGCAGCAGCGCGTCGAGTCGGTCGAGCTGCGCCTCCGCCTCCTCGGCCAGCGCGGGCTCGGGCTCGGAGGGCTCGGGGCCCGCGGTGGGCACTGTGGGCGCCGTGGGCGCGGCGTCCTGCAGTATGTCGGCGACGGTGCGGCGCTCCAGACGCAGAGCTCTCTTAACGTGCTGCAGCTCCTGGATCCTGAGCAGCACCTCGCCGACCTCGCTCACAGGATTGGCTTCCATCTATTAAATAGGTCATGTAATTCCAAACTAAATTAACAACGGCGGTTAAATCATTAATAGAGTAATTACTCTAGCGACTATTTTTCACATAAGTTCTTTGCCGCAGTTTTTTACAGAACTCAATATTAACACGAACCTCCGTTCCGTATAAGTTTGTAGCTATGATCGATCGAGGCGATGTTGTTCTTGCAAAGAAGTTTAGTTTGGCAGGCAACATGT